GACCCACGGAGAAAGTTCAGTGCAATCACCAGATTGATCTTTTTTGTGATGCAACCACGGAGGTGGGTCATTCCCTGCCTTGTTTCTCCCACCAGGTTCCAGTGTTTCAGGAAGGTCCCTGGTTGACCTCAAGGGCAATCATGCAAGTGTGGAGGTCTGACTGCCTGGGTTCAGCAGGGCTGGCAAGGTCCAGCTAGCTACAAGGGCACATGCATCTGTCTCGGACCCATTCTTGTGGGACTGGTGGGACCTGCGGTTCCTGGAGAGAAGCCCAAAAGTGCACAAGAGGGTTCAGTGGAGAAGCTTTGTAAGAACTTGGATGAGGAACAGGGATCCAGCCAAACAGAGTGGGACTCTCAGAAGAGCTCAGGTCCCAAAGGGATGTGTCACTAGGCTAAGTGATTAAGCAGAATACTCATTTGGCAATTAAAATAAGCCAGGCCTAAAGGAAGGGCTAATCAGGAATAGGGAGACACAGGAGGCTCCCCAGGCGCACTCAAGGAAGGGAAGAAAAAGGGCACATCCCTCTGTGTCCACTAGGTGGCAGCCCCCTTCCTTTACCAGTACTAAGACTTGTGCTTATTCTTGGGCACTTTCTGATACTCAAGAATCACTCAGATTCCTGGGCCCCTTCCCAGAGCTTACAATTCTGTAGTCTGGGCTGGGGCCTGAGATTCTGCATTTCTAAGAAGGTCCAGGTGCTGCTAGTGCCCCTGGCTGGTTAACTTTGAGCATCATCTCAGACTCTGGGAAGAGGGGAGGTGGGCAGGAGTACGGGGTGGTCCTCAGGGATGAGCAGTCAGTTCAAGTTGTGACAAAAACTCAAGGGAGGGGTGGCGTTGTGGTAGGAAGGTGGCTTGGGAAAGGGAGTGGGGTCACTTGCTTCCGGATGGAAATAGCCTCCGGTCCTAGAGCAGATTTGAATTGTGGGATCTGCAGCAGAATGTCAGGGCTCCAGGGCTCTCCATTCATTGAAATGGGTTACCGGTTAATTTCCTTAGAATGACTGGAGCACAGAGGAGCACACGTATATGCAGACTAAAATGACCGCAGTATTCAGATCAAAACGTAAAACAAGACATTAGGTACACACCAAAAATCAGGCTAAAGAAAAACATTAAGAATGCTGTAAAGCATAAATCAGCAAATCTCAGACAACTTGAAGTGAAAGACCATTTAAAAAATATCCAGTCCATCATGGCCCAATACGCGAGATCTGCTAAACAAGACTTTTGCATAGCTCTGGCCCTGCGTGGCTGACCAGGCGGGTTTGACAGTACCCAGCTGGACCCTACCCTGTTTAGTGAGATGAAACCACGGATCATGCATTTGAATGCCAATGGCAGTGCTACTTGCCTATGACACTTCTAAAGCTTCCTCTGTTTCTCTACCTGCATCAACAGAGAGAGAGAGAGAGGCAGAAAGTAATAGTTTCCATAAGAGCCCCCAACCATGCTTGGAGGTGCCCTGGGAGATGGGCTTCTGCACAACTTCAGGGAGTCTATTTGTTCTTTGAGCTCCCGCACCACATTCTTTTTTTTTCAGTTGAAGCATAGTTGACTTACAATGTTGTGTTAGTTTCAGATGTACAGCATAGTGAGTCAGTTAAACATATATATGTATATTCTTTTTCAGATTCTTCTCCATTATAGGTTATTATGAGCTATTGAATACAGTTCCCTGTGCTCTTCAGCAGGAACTTGTTTATCTATTCTGTATATAGGAATTTGTATTTGCGAATCCCAAACTCCTAATTTATCCCTGACCCCCTGCACTTTTTGTATCTTTTAAGGGTCATTTTAAGGGTCCAATTATATTTTTTTGGGGGGTCCTTGAAATGGGGCTACTTGGAGATATTTTTGGTTCTGCTGCTATTTCTTCCAGGACATGAAGGACGATGTCCTGCACAGAGTAGGCACTTAATACACACTGATGGGATGTGTGCCTGGAAGTGTAGCCCAGCAATAAGAAAGCAGATGTGCTTGGGGGGCTGGAGAGAGGGCCAGGAAATAAATGCCCAGCAAAACAGAGCTCTGCTCACAGAGACTGTATGGAGGTAGCGGGAAAGCAGAGTAGATGGAGGGGGGCCAACACCAAAAAGAAAAGAGCAATCAGTCAAGTTGTTTCCCCCGCCTCACTGCTCCCTCACCAAAGGCAGGTGTCCATTGGGAATGAGTGAATGCAGTTAATGAGGTTTTGCCATGACGCTTAGGTTCCG